ATCTGTTATGGTGATGTGTGATCAGTGATTATTGAGGTCACTATTGTAATTGTTTTGGGGGCATCACAAACTGTGCCCCTCCTATATGGGCAAATTTGAATGGTAAATTTTGCTTGTGTTCTGACTGTTCCACTGACCAACTCTTCCCCTCTCTTGGTCTCCCAATTCCCTGAGACCCAACAATCTTGAAATCAGGCCAATGAATAACCCTACAACACTTCTAAGTGTTCAAGTGAAAGGAAGAGTCACACATCTCTCACTAAAAACCAAAAGCTAGAAATCATTAAGCTTAATGAAGAAGGTACACTGAAAGCAAAAGTGAGCCAAGAGTTAGGCCTCTCGTACTAAACAGTTAGCCAAGTTGTGAATCAAAGAAAAACTTTTTGAAGGAAAAGAAAAGTGCTACTCCAGTGAACACATGAATAAGAAAGTGAAGTAGCCTTATTGCTGACATGGAGAAAGTTCGAGTGGTCTGGATAGAAGATCAAACCAGCCAGAACATTCTCTTAAGGCAAAGCCTCAGCCACAGCAAGGCTCTAATGCTCTTCAATCCTATGAAAACTGAAAGAAGTCAGGAAGTTGCAGGAGAGTTGGAAGTTAGCAGAAGTTGGGTCATGAAGTTTAAGGAAAGAAACCATCTCCATAACATAAAAGTGCAAGATCAGACAGCAAGTGCTGATGCAGGAGCTGCAGCAAGTTATCCAAGAAGATCTAAGGTCATTGATGAAGGTGGCTACACAACAGATTTTCAGTGTAGACAAAACAGCCTTATAGTGGGAGAAGCCATCTAAGATGTTCATAGCTAGAGAGACTACCTGGCCACAAAGCATCAAAAAACAGTCTGACTTTCTAGGGGCTAACCCAGCTGGTGACTTTAAGTAGAAGTCAGTGTTCATTTACCTTTCTGAAAACCCTAGGGCTCCTAAGAATTATGCTAAATCTACTCTGCCTGTGCTCTAGAAATGAACAAAGCATGGATGACAGTACATCTATGTACAGCTTATATTTTAAGCCCACAGTTGAGATCAACTGCTCAGAAAGATTCCCTTCAAAATATTACTGCTTATTTACAATACACCTAGTCGCCCAAGTGCTCTGAGGAAATGTACAAGATTAATGTTGCTTTCAGGCCTGCTAACACATCCATTCTACAGCCCGTGAACCAAAAGTAAGTTTGACTTTCAAGCCTTATTGCTTCAGAAATACATTTTGTAAGGCTATAGTTGCTATAGATAGTGATTTGACTGATGGATCTGGTCAAAGTCAACTGACAATCATTTGGAAAGGGTTTCACCATTCTAGATGTCCTAAAGAACATTTGTGATTCCTGAGAGGTCAAAATATCAACATGAATAGGAACTTGGAAGAAATTGATTCCAACCCTCATGGATGACTTGGAGGGGTTCAAGACTTCAAAGGGGGAAGTAATTGCAGATATGGTGGAAATAGAAAGAGAACTAGAATTAGAAGTGGAGACTGAAGATGTGACTGAATTGCTGCAATAAAATGAATGGGTGAGGAGTTGCTTCTTATGAATGAGCAAAGACAGTGCTCTCTTGAGATGGAAACTACTACTGATAAAGATGCTGTGAACATTGCTGCAATAGTAACAAGGGATTTAGAATAGTGCATAACCTTCATTCATTAACAACTGGTTTAGAGAGGACTGACTCCTTTTGAAAGATGTTCTACTGTGGGTAAATGTTATCAAACAGCATTGCAAGCTTCAGATAAATCTTTCAAGAAAAGAATAGTCAATGTGGCAAACTTCATTGTTGTCTCTTTTTTTACGTTGGAAAATATAGTTTATTTAGAAAGTAGATTGGAGAGAGAAGGGAGATCCACCTCCCCAAGGTAGGGGAGGGGGCCATTAAGAAATTGTCATTCACCCTAACCTTCAGCAACCACCATCCTGATCAGTCAACAGTCATCAAAATTGAGGCAAGACCCTCTGTCAGTAAGATGCTGGCTCACTGAAGGCTCAGGTGACCATTAGCATTTTTAGCAATCAAGTATTTTTTATGGAGGCATGTATGTTTTAGACATAATGCCATTGGATACTTAACAGACTACAATATAGTATAAACATAACTTTTATATGCACGAGGAAACCAAAACATTTGTATAACTTGCTTTATTGTGGTATTTGCTTTATTGCAGTGGTCTGGAATTGAACCTGCAATATTTCTGAGGTATACCTATACTTGCTAAATTAATTTTTAATGGCCCAGGGCCCACTCACTCCTGAAATAATGAATTTCACTCAACTGCTATTTAAATCTGTTTGCAAAACTGTGACTAAGTATGGCAGCCATTGTGAGATGTTTCTCTAACTTTTACAAATCACAAAATGGCCTTTACAGATTTTGAAAAATTTTACATCTAGGAACATAAGCAGCAAGAACTTCCAGAAACACTGACTTTTCTAAGTGTGAAGTTTATCGAAGATCAAACAAACAAGATCCAATTAAAAAATGTGGTGTTTTCTCAAAACTCAGTCTTTCATAGTATTTAAGCCAAAAATCTGTTTGAAATAATTAAAATGGCATCCTTCTGCAGGTCACCTTAAAAAGATTACAGGCTGAGCCACCGAGCCTGGCTCCAAGTACCTTTGAGAATTAAAAATGTTTATAAATCTCCACTTAATGCCACTCAGGGGTGAGAAAAGTACACCATCTGATATATCAGGTAGAGAATTGTAACAACTCCACTGACATCTCAGCTCTACCTCAAGTCTAAGCTGGGAAATCACACATATCAAAAATAAAAGGAAATCTGTTTCCTTTCCTCCTCTCGAGTGCATCTGGCAAGAGACATAAGGGTGGCAGCTTGCACGCTGTCTAAATGTCCCAGTGTGCTATGGCCTGATGAGAGGCCTCCAGATTGCTCCCAGGAAATCCCAGTTTGTTTTCACTTCCAAACAGCCCACGCTGCTTAACTCTGATGTATGGGTGAGGATCCGCTCCATATAGTTCATGTCCAGGGTTAGCCTGAAGGCCCAATGTTGGACATAAAACTTAAGGTTCTCCATGATCTGTGAGGCATATGGAATAGAGCCCACTGCAAAGCCAAGAGAAAACTCAACCACGAAGCTAGTGTTTTCTGCAGATATGGTTTTCATTGAATAACTGGCAATCCTTTAGGGTGCGGTACATGACACTCTGGTTCATAACCATAACATTATGTAAAAAAAATCAAGCAGCAAGCACTTACTCCCCCTCTCCCAACTCCACTCATTCCTGCTCTTTTGTTTGGCATCTCCTCTGCAGGAAGGAGATACCAAAGACAACAAATACTGAGAAGCTGGAAGTCTTGTTTCGAATCCTGGTATGCAACTCCATCACTGTGTAACCTTGGGCAAGCCACCTAACTGTTCTGAGTACATTTCCTCAGCTGTGAAAGAGGAAAAGCTGTCTCACAGTGGTTGCAGAGAATAAACATGTGGGAGCACGTAGCCAGCATATAAGTATTCTCTGAGTACTTAGAGTCATCTTACCCATTGTACTCAGCTTCTTTACATCACATCTCTTTAACTTCTGACCCTAGCCTTGCAAATATAAAGGAGCTAAACCATGGTGAATCCTGACCTATCAACACAGCAAGGTCATAGCACATTAAAAAACACATCTGGGTGGAGGTAGGTTGGGCCTGAAGGTAGAGCGGTCTTTAATGTAAACCAGCATATTTTATCCAACAGAATTCCACTATAGACAGCTTCATTGGAAAAGGATTATTTATTTCCACTCTGTTCTGACAATAGTCTCTAACCACCTCACTAACCAGTATTCTTTCCATGCCATTCAAAAGACTCAAGACTGAAGTCAACTTAGATTTTTATTTAAAATAACTTTACTAAGAACCCGTCTGCTTATCCTCATAGTCGATAAAATATAAAATTACCTGATATGTCCAAACCCCTATCTTATAAGAATTGCTGACCCAGGATGGCATTTCCCATCATTGCTTTCTAAAACAACACAGGAAATTTCAAGACTAAATGGCCAAAAGAAGTTAGGATGACCCAGCCTCTAGAAAACCTGAGTTATTTAAGGAAGAAAAACAAAATCATGTCTGAATGGGTAATTCATGATTCAGACAGTCCAGCATTTAAATGGTATTAACTACTCCACTAAGGATCTTTTTAATGCACTTAGGTAAGACTTTTTATTTCCATGAAATTGGATCTTTGATTCAAAATTTAATCTCCTACCAAAGACTCTGCACTATATAAGTGATGTAAGAGTGAAGCCGGCTCTTAACATTTCATTGCTAGGAATACAAATGAAATTGATCAGATTATTTGCCAAATAATGTTTCTTCAGCAGGACTAACTCCTCCCCTAAGTGGGCTGTCAAAGAGAGCAGCAAAAAGCAGACACTGAGTATTAAAACTGTATTTTCTAGCTTAATCTTCCAGGATTCAAATTTAGCCATAAAAAAATCAGTGTGCATGAAAAATTGATTTGTTATATAATTTATTAGTTTCTAGGACCTTTGTCTGAAAGAAATAAACAAGACCTAAGAGGTCAGGTCATTTAGCAAGTCAAAATATTGACTAAAATGAAAGATACAAGACATACTTTGAAACTACATGATATTCCTTCAGAATATTGTCACTCTTCTCATGACATTAGTAACCATGGAAAAAAATGTAGTTACAATTTTACAGAATATAAAATTCCTAATAAACTTTCTTCTTTCTCTCTTATTAAAATTTTTCAGAATTGTTGTAAAGGAGCTTACTCTGTCCTATCTGAAGCTATTGTTATTTTACTCTTACCATGCCAGGATACAGAAGGGCAAAAATATTATTTCTTCAATTTTCAGATTCATAGTGGTCAAGGTAGGACCTATTCATAGGTAAACAAATATGAAATGACACTATGACCAAACCTTTCTAAAACTCTTAGCCTAAATTTGTAAGTCAATAATGTTAGAAAGATATGTGTAAAAATTCTGGTGAGCTCTTCCTGCCAAAGATGGAGGAAGTGAATCAAACCATTAGAATGCTAACATAGGAGATCGAGTTTATTCAAAAAATATTTACTGAGCCCTTACTATGTGCCAGGCACTATTTTAGGTACTGGGACTATATTGCATTGATTAAAAACATACAAAAATCCCTGTCTTCGTTGTGCCTACACTCTAGAGAAAGGATACAAGACAATAAACATAATAAATAAGTAAATTACATAGTAAGTTAGAAGGTGATGAGTACTAAGATACAAAAAAAATAGAGCAGTAGTGAGAATAAATGATGACAAGTTGTATCTGGAAATTTTCCAAAACCAGAAAAGGAGAAAGTAAACATCTATTTGGGAAAGTCTATATATAAATATATTTGTACATAATAAAACATTTCTGGCTCTTTAATGGTTATAGGATTTTCAAGCAAGAAATTAAGGAGATTTTAAAAACATGAAAGTAAAATTGCAAACTAGCAAGTGTAATTTTCATGGATGCCAAATACAGAGTTCTTGAGGCAGTGGGATCTCTGCTTATTGCAGAAGCAGAGTGCTGTAATAGAACCTTCTGCGGTTCTAGCAAATTCCATGATTCTGGCCACAACGCCAACCACAGTAGATATGAAGAGCCGGTCAGCTAAAGAAAGGCTGCCAGGGACAGACAACGTAGAAGAACTCAAATAGCTTTTGAGATTTTCTTTTTATTTCCATTTCCTTTTTAAAATACAGCACCTATTCTTTTTTATGTTGTTAAAGAAGGGTGAGCTCATTAAAAAGGAAAACGAAAAAACAGGGACCCCCACAAATCCGATTCCATCTCCCCTCTCAAACTGTTCAAGATGCACACATGTTTATTGTCTATCAGTAGACCTAGCTCTTTTCATGTTGTTATCAGAGGTTGATACCAAACTACTAGGTAGATATTTTTCCTTTGATTTAAATTCAAATTCCATTCCAACAAAGCAACCAAAAAAAAATTAACATTTAGTTTTAGCTTCTGGGGAATTAGGTTCTCCAGGTAAGAAGTAAAAATAGAGAAAAAATGGTGTTGCCATCTTCATTCAGAAAGTCATTATTTTCAGCAAAATGGGGCAGAGGCAGAAAATCCAGGTTGCAGGACTGAGAAAAAGGAGTGTCCGCCCCATGGGACACTTATAAATTGATCACTATGACAGCAGCCCTTTCTAGAGGTAATAATGTCATTAGGTTGTGCTAATTCTCCACAAACCTCAACAGTCCTGGATTAAGAACATCTGGAAATTGTTCAGATGACACAAATTTCTGTTTCCTGCTGTTAAGACTCCCATGATGCCTCTCTGCAGCATCGGCCACCATTTTTTTTTTCTTTTCACACTTCTTCCTTTCAAGCCAGGAAGTATACATAAAGTGCAAGTAAGATTCATTCCCTCGCCTGTGCACTTAGGCTCTTGTCTTGATAGCCAGTATTGCCAAATCTATTAGTTAAGCCGCTGGCCAACTAGGATGTCTGTAGGAATTTCTGGAGTTAGCAAATGAGCTCATCTGGCAAAGAGAGCATCGGAAGGTCAATGCAGTCTTGGCAAGAAAACACGAAGTACCACACACAAGACAGGGATGTGAAAGATGTAAGCAGGAGAGGGTGTTTGTCGTCACTGAAGGAGCCATCTTTGGATCTCAATTCTTAAAGAGAATTCAGCAACTGTTACTAAAATGAACAAGGCCAGCAGATTTCAGAGCATGGTCAATCTTCAGTGTGGGCAGATTCAGTTTTCCCTGGTTTGGGGACAAAAGAGAACAAAGAGGGTAGGTTGTCAGATCTAATGAATTTTATGACACAAATGTCACCCCAAAAAAGACTCCTGTAACTACTCAACTTATACAACAAAGTAACTCCTGAAAGAGTTTGCAAAAGGTGTTTTCCTTTGGTGTTTGAGAGGTATACAGTGCAAATGGGCTATCGGTTAGGCAATATTACATAATCTCCTTACTATAGAATCTCTTAGAGCCTTAATTTAATATGCCAATGAGCAATGTGATTCTTCAAGAGAGGGATACAGTATGCAGCACTGCCCACATTTCTGGGACCAGGAATTTACCTTTTCATAAACCAACTTGGCAGGAGTAGTATTTTAATACAACATATTTTGGGAAAGGCTGCTTTGCAATCCTGGTTGGAGAGGACAGGAATGGTGTTAAGTCATATTCAGTTTATATTACAAGAGCCCTGCTTTTATATAGAGAGTGACAGTTTCACCCAATATAACAAATTAGCCATGGTAACTGGGTTCCATTATATTTCCTTTGTAATGTGCCAAAATCATGGGTAAAATTTAATATTATGTTTGACTGTCTAACACTAATAATAAAAAGTAAACTATTTCCCATCTATCATAAACCAACACACAATCAGTAGGCATTTTCAGAGGAAGCCCTTTGCATTTTTTCTGCTTTTTTTCAGAATTAAAACCATCAAGATGTCATTATATATGAAACTCAGCCATAACTGAGACTGAACAGAGTATATTAGAAGATACATAAAATTGAATAAAAGTCAAGGATCAATTTGATCAAAAGTCACAGAAAATGATCAAACACATACTAGTTAAATTCCTGAATTTCTTTTTGGCTTCTGCCCTTTCTTCAGCATCAAAGTACCAAACAGTCATAGCGTATCTGTGAAAAATAAGCAAGTATAAGAAAAGAAATTTTGAAATACTACTAAAAAAATAAAATTCCTATAAATCTCACATTAAAGTCATTTGTAAAACAAACATTTAAAGTTTCCCCTATTACTAGAAGTCCACTCCAATTTTAATTTAAAGTTAATGTCTCTGGTTTTAATTCTACTTAAATAAACACATTAAATAAAACACATAGATATGTAAAACACATAGGGAATTTCAGGTATGTGCCAGGGGTTACCCTGGGCAGTGGGAATACAAATGATCCTGTGAGCAGATCTTCCTCTTCCTCAAGGATCTCAGGCTCAAACAGGGGAGTCAAGGGATTTAACAGTAATGCAACAGGTAAATATGATCTATGCAGAAAAGACTAGAAGTCATTCTGCTAAACACTGGGAGACCCAAGTAGGCAAGGAGAGCACAGAGAGGAAGAGGTGACATTTGCAAAAAAGCTTTAAAATTAACTTATTTAAATCACAGTACATTTACAACTCTTGGCTTTCTTTCATTCATTTTGGACATTAAGGCAAAGATGCAACTGAATAATAATGCCCTCAAGTTTTCTACTGCATTCCCACTAATTTCTTTATCCCATCCATGGGATAGACTATAATGGGAACCATTTCATACTTAGGTTTTAAAAAAGTTTCATTGTATAATTATTATTAGCTCCTGGAATTTCTACAGTGCTTGATTTTTTTTTCAAGGCTTCCCATCAACATTTGCTAATGTTTTCCCTGTGAAACCAATCCTTGTGGGAATGGGGAAAAACCAGAGAATTCTGCCACAAATGACAGGATCTAATTATGGTACCTCATAAAAAAAAGTCACAAGCAGACTGCAGTGATAGAATTAGTTGCTTGCTCATTGAAAACACATTCCAATTTGTCAGTTAATATGTAACTCTGGTTGGGGCCCAGATCTGTGATTTCTGGAGGGGGACACATGTGATGTTAATTTAATTAGGCTTGTTAAGGTTTAGTCATCATTCCTCCCAAAACTCCCTCCTCCTGCCCCCGACTGCTATTCCCATGACAAGTTATACTCCACAGCACTCTAGTACAGCTTGGTTTACAGCTTTGGACTCAAAGGTAAATGACAGGCAGAATCTGGAATTAAGATTTTTATCAAGAATATGTAGATTAATACTAAACTATACTAAATTGTTCAGTTACTCTGAAAATCTTCATGTGCACACAATAAATAAAAGATTAATAAAACATCCAATTGTTGGGACATGAATACAGCAAGCCCAAGTCAATTTGCTTGTTTGTTTCTTTTTTTGTTCTTTTTTGAGACAAGGTCTTGTCCTATTACCCAGGCAGGAGTGTAGGGGCACAATCACAAATTCTGGCTCATCAAAGCCTTGAACTTCTGGGCTCAAGTGATCCTCTCACCTCAGTCTCCCAAGTAGTTGAGACCATAAGCGTGTGACATCACACCAGCTAATTTTTTTCTTTTTTGTTGAGATGGGCTCTTGTTATATTGCCCAGGGTGGTCTCAAATTCCTAGACTCAAGCAATCCTCCCACCTTGGCTTCTCACAGTACAGGGATTATAGGTACGAGACACCACGCCTGGCTCATGTCACTTTTAAACTAAGAAAACAGTAAAAAGGAAAAGTTCAAACAAATTATATTTTCTTTTCTCAAGGTTCTTTCTCTGCTTGCAACTGACAACTTGTAAATTCATCCATAGTGAGCAGACAGAATTCCTGATATGTAATAGCCAATATTCTTCAGGAGTAGTTCAACATTTAATTAATTAATTAAATAATTTAGTTAGTTAGCTATTTTGAATTAGAGTCTCATTCTGTCTGTCTAAGGTTGGAGTGCAGTGGCACACTCACAGCCACCGTAGCCTTAACCTGCTGAGCTCAGGCGATCCTTCCACCTCAGCCTTCCAAGTAGTTGTAACTATAGGCATGTGCCACCATGCCCAGCTAATTTTTTTTTTATTTACTGTGAAGACGAGGTCTCTCCAAGTTATCCAGGCTGGTCTTGAACCCCTGGTTTCAGGCAATACTCTTGTCTCAGCCTCCCCAAGTGCTGGGATTACAGGCTTGAGCCACCTTGCCCGGCCTAGCATTAAATTTTTAAAGGACAGGAGAAGGCAATGGAGGAGAGGAAAGGAGAGAAGATAAAAACAATGAGAAATTTAGAATCCAATATGCTCATCTAATGGAAAACAAATTGTTAATGGTAATTTCAAACTGAAGTTAGGTTTGACCTAAATTCAAAGAATCCAAAGATGCTCCTTTAATGTTTATTGACACCAAACAGGCTTGCTGTCACCTTTGGGGTGTGGTCAGTTCCCCGTAAGTGCAGGACACAAGTTCAGAGAGTCCCCTGGGAAGTAGGATGTCTATCAGCGATCCTGAAGAGGAATCAAGGCCCTGGCTGTTACCTGGTTGCGTAGGAAGGCTGTACTTCGTGTGGGTTCCTGCGATCTGACCAGAAGAACAGGAGTCTGTCAAAAATGGGCTCCACATCTGCTATGAACGATTTCCCCTCTGGAAATATCCGCAGGATCCCACCATGTAGCTGAGGACCACAAGAAGATCGATCATTTCCTGGCCCCAGAAGTAGTTTATCAACAATATTTCAGCCCCATCTAGATACAATGCTACCTTCTAACTACCACTCCAAATGTATATAACACCACTCCAAGTATGTATAACCCCCAAATTTCTATTTCAACCTCACACTTTGTACTAAATTTTACTTCAGACTCAGCTAGAGATATCTCCTTATTCACCTTATAAAAGCATTCTCACCCACACAATCATGAGGCCTGCAGACACAAAATAGAGTAGTATTAGATTGAATCATACAGAATTGCCAATATTCGACTGTTTCTGACCTATAGAAAAACTCCCGCAGTTTCACGTTTCCATCTAATATTAACAACTTTCTAAGAAAATTATCACATAGTTTCCCCCTCAATTAGAATTTACAGCTCTCTTCTGGACTCAACTCCTATCTGACCTTGCTAGTTGGAAGGGATGTGTTCTTTTTTCTGAACTCTCAGATTACCTTATCTACACCTTTTATGACATATCACTCTTTTCCTGGAATTACTTTTCTTTTTTCTTTTTACATGTATACCTAATCTGTTCTACTAGAATAACCATATTCAGAGAATTCAGGCCTCACATATCAATGTTTCCCCATAGCAAAATGCCTGACACTAGCAGGAACTCAAATATTTGTTGGATGATTTCATACCTTGCAATTTATTATTACCAACCTGATAACTCTCTTGCCTATAACAGCACCTCTAAAGATTTTAAAGGAGCCCTCATGGATATATTCCAGTCATGATACCAAACAGGGAGAAGAGACAGACCTTTTCACAGTTTCACTGGTTTCCCAGGTTTTGTTTTTCTGACCCCAGATAAAATATGATTGCTTTATGACAGCCCTAATGAACAGGAAATGGAGATGCAGAAGGTTCAAAAGCCAAATAAGCTTGAAAAGTTCTCTGACTTCCCAGACTCCTAAATCATTCTTAACTTTCAGAAAGCATACAAAGTCCAGACAAATGTCTGTAAAAGTTGAACCAGACCTTATATCTCTATCTATCGATAAGTTCTACAATACAAAGATAAGCCACAAAGCCTTTGGCATCCAGAGACCACAGTAAGTGATGGCAAGCAGCCATCATGAGACATATTACCCCAAGAGAGAAGGCTGTGTGAGAAACCTCTCTTGGGGATGGTTTTATAGCATACAATTCTATTTTTGAGGAACTTACTCAATGTTGCTGCTGGAAGAGAAAAATGTATGTCTTATTTTGCATTGAGAGTCATAACAGCTCTGAAGTAGACTTAAAAAATTGATCCCTAGCCCTAATATTCAATTACCTTCCCTTCATCAACCATCCCTCCCACACCTTAATGATCACCTTGTTTATCCCTCTCCAAATTATCTTTAAGTCCACGGTTTTCATCTCATCAACTTTAATACTAATTTCATGGAGGGGGAGGAAGAGATAAAACAGAAACAAAAATGATTTGTCAGTGGGCTACAGGGCTATTATGAACCTTGAGAGCTTGTTTAGAGGTTCTAGTGGGGGATAGTAGCTACTCATATACCCTTGACCAAAGAATGGTCCTCCTCCAGCGGGGATGGTTGTCCTCTTTGACCGAGTGCACAGTTTTGAGGGAGACACACATGGAGTGGTGAGGGAGGACGGGGACATCCGCCTAGTCAGCCAGATAAGCCAAATCAACCTTGACGATCAATGAAGTGATAGATGCCACAGTCAGATTGCCCTCACATCCTAGGGCTATTATGAAACTCTCCTCTAAGTTATCTGAACTCTTTTCCTACAGTTTCTAACCCCACGTTCTACTCCCATTATTGCAAAGTACCTTGGCATCCCAATTCTTGTTCAGATAGTAGATGCAGGTGATGCAGCGGCCATCACCATTGGGGTTGTCCACATGGCGAACGTAACCTGTTCCATTTCCAGGGTAGCAAGCCACCATTGCCTACAAAGAGATACCAAGAATGCTAGTTAACAAAGTTAAGAAAATCCTCTCTTCTCACTGGTGCACAGACAAGTAACACAGTCTCTTTGGGTGCTATGTGACATTTATAAGTGGCTGCTAGCTTCTTAATTGTATGTACAGTATATAACTTTGGACTCTTCAGTGAATAAGATTAACAGTCAGGTCTCATTTTATGGCTCAGTCTCATCTTATGGCTCAGTCCAGTGGCAAGTGGTTCAACAATATTCCCGTAGTTCCATTCTAGACATTCTTTCTCAAAGTAACCCATCTACATCAGTATTAGCAAGCCCTGCCTTTTTTCCAATATTCCCTTTTGGAAAAGCAGGTTCTAGGTTCCCATCCCAGAACTATAAAATCAGATTCACTGGGTGTGGAGCTTAGAAATGATGCCTGTTTAGCAGGTGCCCCTGAATCACTGACTCACTCATGCTGTTTTAGAATAATAGCTAAAGAAAGGTACTTGCATTACAAAGAGACAGAACCAGTCACAAAGAAGGAAAAGGTCAGCTCAATACAATGCTTAGGATGGAAGGAAGAGAGAAGCATCAATAGGAAGTTACACCTTAACTTTGTAGCAAGACAACACGGGAAGATTCCTTTCAGAGAAAATGTCACACACATATCTTATGTATTTCTTCATGCTTGTCTTCTCCCTACCTAATAATTATCAAATCAGGTGGCAATCTGGAGTTCTCTTTATTTCTCTAAGTGCTACCTGTATCAACCAAGTATAGGAATAAAGCCGAAAGCCATACCAAAAATCCTACTGGAAATTACTATTAGAGAATTACTACTAGAAGGTAACAAAACTGTAACTGTCCCTTGGAAAAAGCAGAGGATAGGGAAAAAAGAAAAGCACAAAAAGCCAGTTTTTTTTTTCTTCACAGGATACTTACATATTTTAAAAATATTTCTGTAGGGATGTGATATGTGCAGGGACGACATCGGAACCAACAGCATAAGATAAGGATAAGAGGCTGGGTGCGGTGGCTCATGCCTGTAATCCCAGCACTTTGGGAGGTTAGGTGAGGGGATTGTCTCTACAGTAAATCAAGAAAAATTAGCTGGGCATGATAGCGCATGCCCTTCCAGCTACCTAGAAGGTTGAAGCGGAAGGATCGCCTAAGCCCAGCAGGTTGAGACTGCGTGGCTGTAAGTGTGCCACTACTATACTTCAGCATGGACAACAGAGAGCGACTCTGATTCAAAAAAAAAAAAAAAAAGGTGAGAATAGGGATCTTTTTTCCTGTTCTTTTCATTGATATATTCCTCACACTTAGGACAGTACCTGACACAGAGAAGGTGTCCACTTAAATTTTTATGAACATATCAATGAATTAGTGAATGGCTCTTTGGAGAGCAAGTTCACATTCTACCTAAATTGATAGCTAATTTTGTCATTTTAAAAACCTGTCTTCAAACATACACATAGGCATCCACGTCATATATTTCTTGACAGAGGGCTGCTTCATTGGTAAGATGACCAGTTGGGTAGAGCCCCAAATTAATGCTTCTAGTGGTTCAATGAATCAGTTTCAATGCAGCTGCCAAGTCATTCCCAATAGTAGCACGAAAACATGGAACTAGACATCAGACACCTTGCATACAGATCAATAAGGCTGAATGGCAATTTGACTTTACAATGATTTTAAAGCTCAAATCACCATATCTCTCACACTTTATATCCTCATACAGCTAACAATCCCCACATCCTGCCTTTGAACATTGAAAATGTCAATGCAACGTCACCCCTAGAGCTGATGTTAGGCCGTTAGCTTGAACATCTTTCAGAAGGTGAAATTTTGAGGTGGCTGCAATATTTAACAAACGACCACCAAGCAGAGCATGGCTTGGGAAAGGGTGATTGGTAGTAGACAGAAATGATGAGCCTAGCTGGAGAAGAATAGATAAATGAAGTCACCTATAAAAACTAAGGAATTACCCATTCCTAGAAGTCGCTCTCAGGATTCTAAGAGGCACCACCGAACCAATAATGAAAGTCACTCAAGTCACAAACAATTACAGGCTGGATTCTCTACCATCTCAGCCTTCCCCCATTGTGTGTGTCTGAAAAGAAAACGTACTCCATCAATGCTATATACTTATATTCTTAAACAGCTCTACTCGAAGGAAAAGGTCAGTGGTCTGGAGCCTGCCATCTAGTTCACTCTGCAACTAACTGTGTGATCCAGGCTAAGCTTCTTTCCTATAAAGAAAATCCTGGGTTACACAGCCTCTGAAGGTCCTAAAAGACCTAAAACTTGATCCAAGCAACGACCCCAGAAAAAGCAACAGAGCTCTTCATGGCATCATCAAGTATTGCTTCTCTGCTTCAGAACTCAGCTCAGATTAAAATATTGGGGGGGAAAAAAGATAAACACAAGCTCACAAAAGCACATCCTCTAGTAAATGCTGCATCTATAAAACACAGACACAAAGAAAGAGCCAATTCCAGAGGACTTACTTTTAATGGACAAAACCCCTAATTGTCAGCAAAGTATCTGATTGTTTAAGGGAGAAGAACAGAGATAAGCTCTCAGTCAGAGTGAATATTCACCCTCTCTCCTGGTTCTAGAAGCCACATGCATCAAGTTGGAAACAATGAAAGGAAATCATTGCGAGCCTCAGTGGGCCAGTTGAAGCTACCTTCAGCCAATTTTATCAGTGTGTTTTCTGGATGAGTGCCATAGGAGATGGGTCTTGGCTTGGGCACATTCCCAACTATTTGTGATTTTTGACAGGGTCTAAAACCACAAGGCTAAGAACGCACTGTGAAGCAAGTCTCACTTCAATAACTAGCCATTCACTTCTGTGCCAATTCGTGCACGGGGCAGTAACAAACTCCGGAAACTGATCAGTTCAACTGAGTTGCTATCTAAACCTCATCAAGCCTGGGAAGGGATTTAGAGTGTACAACAGAAAAGGCTTCAGCGCTTTATTGTTATAAGAACAGGGCCAGAGTACCTTAATGATCATGTAGCAAACATGCCAAGCAATAACACTGACACATATCAGAAGGATGTCTTATTTATTACAGGCTTTTCATTTACTAAAACTTTCCGGCTAGATTAATAACTGAAATTTACAGACATTTAATAACACATTAGTGTCATCTACAATAGCACATACAGTATAGTCCTGTAGTTTCTATTCTTGGATGTACAGATAAATCCACATATCCCCTTACACATTCACCATTCCCTCCACTGACCCCACAGTGTGTCCACCACACCCCATTCTCAGAAGAATAGGAAGAGATTGGAGGGTTGAACCAGGTGGTCCTGGGCTGGCTGTAGACCAGAATACGTGCTCTAGACAGCTATGTGGCCATGTTCAGGCAGGAAATACATATGTATTCTTTGAAGATGTATACAGATATATAGATTTGTAACAGTCAAATCCCAGTATAAAAATCAGCTCCCTAAATGCCACAGGTGGAAAAGAAAACAGTGTAGTTCTGTTAGTTATCAGTGAGCTGACTTCAAAAGAAAAAAGAAAAAAATCTCATCAAGTCCATAGGCAAAATCGAAAAATAAAAGTTTAGGATTCGGCCTAAACAGAATGCTCTTGAATATCATCAACCACAGCTTGATTACATGAAAAAAAAAAGTCTCAAAAAATTGGTATTACTGACCTCTACTGTCCACTCAGCAACAATTATCATTTTTTGAGATGCACAGGTCTTCTGGTTAGACTTATCACTTCTCCATTAACAGTCACAACATGATTTTTTTTTTTTTTAATAGGAGTCTCACTCTGCTGCCCAAGCTGAAGTGCAGTGGCAAGCTGCTCACGGCTACCACAGCCTCAACCTGCCGGGCTCAGGTGATCCTTCTGCCTCAGCCTTCCAAGTAGCTGGAACTACAGGTATGTGCTGCCACATACCCGGCTAATTTTTTGGTTTACTGTAGAGATGAGGTCTTGCCAAGTTGCCCAGGCTGGTCTCGAACCCCTGAGCTCAGGCAATCCTCTCACTTCAGCCTCCCAAAGTGCTGGGATTACAGACATGAGCCACTGCGCCCGGTCTCCTAACATGTATTTTTATAAAAAGGTATTTTACATTGCTCATGACTTTGGAGTCAGATTCACCAGCATAAATTGATCTTGTTATAATATAGTGCCATTTTATGCAAATTTTATCTCAGCAAATTAAAGTATCAATCAAATTTCATTTTATTTGCAACATTTTACGAATAAATGAAAATCCATTATTTAAAATTTGTCAAGAATAGTGGGATTTCACAACTATTTGGTTGAATGACCTTTAAACTGGTACTTTGATCTACTGACAAATGCTAGACCCCTCTAGCTGATAAGCAGAAATACAGGCCACCCTTTGTAAGGATTTGTTTTGAATTAAGAGTGGTCTTAAGCAGAATGTACTTCAAATAAAATGCAACCAAAGTACAGGATTATCTGAACTTAACCTCTTTACACCTTGGTTTATGCATCTATAAAATGGGTTTATGAGAATTGAAAGAGCTAATCCATGTAAAATGCTTAGTGCAAAGCCTGACATACACTAAGTGCTTAATAAATGTCAGTTATTTATAAAGCTATGATGTGGCATGTCTGTTCTCCCTTCTGTTCATGCCTTGCCTTCGGGATCCAATTCTACTTAAGAGCTTTGTAGTTTCAAGTCCAGGGCTGGCTAACTAAAATAGCTTTTGCCACTTGCTGGTAAATAAATGACTGTAGGCAATCAGGTATACATGGATCAGAACTCTGAAACGTGTATTGTGCCACCCATACCAGGGAATGCACTATCATTTTCAATGAGGGTCAGTCTTCAGGTTTTATAAGAGGAGCAAGCAATCAGATATTTATGTAAATTCTCAATATTATTGATCCCAACTTTGTAATTAGGGCCACAGAAAAAAAGACTTATCAGGCTATATCCTGAGATCACTGTGTGAGGTCACCCAAGAAATCATGCTAATTTAGGAAAGCTCCTGAGTAGGCACCTTCCCCATCTCACT